TAGTCCAAGACTACAGGATGACAATTTCCCCTGACGCCTCACCCTCGCAGCGGCAGTACGGTACGCCTCGATACAACTGTACGCACCATTGTCGGACATAATTTTATGCCCCGCCAACGTCATGTGTCTTTTCTTTAGTTATTCAACTTGTGACGCATACCATGCTTGCGCATTACGTTCTTGATACATTTTGAGTGCTAGGATATTTTGTACTTCTTTACAACAAAGGAAAAGCTCTTTAACAGTCATCAGTCATCGGCTGATCACATCGCCCAGCCGTCCAGCCGTCAACAAGCTAGGAATCAAGTTCGTGTTTGATTTTGATGGTATTCAGCAGGCAAATTTAGTTTATTTTTCCTGTTTTCTCTGAAATACTTCACCTCAAAATGACGGAAATCACCACGATCTGGAGAAAATGAACAAGCTCCATGTATGTCCTTCCGTAGCACACCTAGTTTTCTAGAGGTGTGGACAGCAAGATTAGTTCCGTATAAAACGTAGCGGATATAAGGATCTTAAAATTGTAGGACCGGAATGTCATGATTTTTTTTAGGGAGCCCAAGTTTTAGGGGGCCCACAATGTTGCATGCAGCCCCCCCCCCCCTGACGAAATCCTGGCTCCACCAGTGGCAGTGGTCAGCCCGGTCTGTGCTGTAGCGGTCAGCCCAGCGAACCCGGCGTGACTGTAGTCTGCGACAGCGAACCCGGCGTGACTGTGATCTGCGACAGCGAACCCGGCGTGACTGTGATCTGCGACAGCGAACCCGGCATGACTGTGATCTGCGACAGCGAACCCGGCGTGACTGTGATCTGCGACAGACCAGGCCTGGACGCAGTGTGTTGGCCAGTCCGTTCCCCGGGCCGGGCCGCTTTAATGGCCTGGCTGAGAGGTGGTGCCGTAGAGACGGGCGGCCCACGCGTCCAGCTAGCCGGGTGAGGTGGTGAGGACACACGTTTCAAGAGACCCGAGAGTCGCGACAAGAGAAGCATGGTTTCCACCACACTTAACCATTGTAGGATGCAAGGCTGCATGTAGCGCGCCAAGGCGCATAGAGCATTTCATAAAAGAGCGTGGTCAGAACCTGCTTGGAAATTCGATTGTTTCCATGCAGGAATATATCATGATAGCTCAAAATTGACGGAAGTCTGTTGAACCATGCATCAGCCGCTCGCTGTTTTTACGCTGGTTGATGCGGCAAAGCGGGACATTGCCACAACAAATGTAGATGCTTGCCTTCGGCCTCACCCGGGAGTCAGCTGATTCAGCCTGCGGCCTCACCTGAGAGTCAGTTGAATGCCTGCGCCCTCACCTGGGAGTCATCTGCATGCCTTCGGCCTCACCTTTGAGTCAGTTGAATGCTTTCGGTCTCACTTGGGAATCAGTTGAATGCGTGCAGCGGCCGGACGTAGACAAGTCAAACTGAAGTTGACATTGAGCCTGGCCCTGCTGGCTGCTCTCGCCGAGCAGCCAGACCAATGGCGTCTCTTCTGGCTGCGGTGGGCGGAGCCGTGCGCGTCGGCATCGGCCGGAGCGGCACCACCGCTGACGACGCGCTCGTCTGCAGATCAATGGCACCGCTTCAGAGCCCCGAAATCACGGCTGGAAAGTTCTCAAAGCAACTAGGGCACACAGTAGGGCGTTGTGACGGTTCACAACGCTCCTCGCATTTATGACCCAATTGAGGTGTTTGGGGAGGCTCAAATTAGCAAATGTGTGGAAGTATCGTCGATACCAGTAATAGGTATTGATCGAATATACGCTACAGAGCAGACCTGAGGTAGCTTCGGATGGAACAAGTCGGTCAATGCGCATAAGCAAATTAGGTAATATCTTGGCAAGTAACCCAAGGCATTGCGAAATATGAAAACATATCTCGAACAACAACTGACTTACACAAATTCAAAGCGACCAAAGGGAAAGGTGAATACAAAATGAGCGGACGAAAAGATATGGAATGTAGAAGGACACAAATGAGAAAGGTAAAAAGACAAATGGTTGAGGGGAAAGCATTTCTAAAGAACAATAGTCCAAGCTGCAACATATCAACGTTCTGAACACAAAAAGGTTCAGTCATCTTAGGCTAATAGAGTCCAGACATAGACAGAGTCCAAACCAAATGAATGGTCTTTTTTGCGCAAATATAAACACCATTTATATACATACGTCTGCTTTGCTCGGCTATCGACTCATGTCACTGTGCAGATCGAACGTGTTGCATGAATCAAAAATTTTCACGGAAGCCAGGTACGTATGTTGGATGTGTAATGGCAACTGAACTTCCTGTATTGGGCAGCGGTGTGCGTCTGGACACGTGTAACACCACACACTTGAGGACCTATGGGTTTACCATGGTTGTGTGAAAATGCGAAGCGCAAGAAGCTGGAAAATGCCAATTCAAATAGAGATATTCCATGGGGTCACGATTTGTCCCGGGACAAAACCATCAAACTTGGCCGACAAATGTAATCACTGGCGTATGACACGAGTTTAGTGTTGCACGTACCACGTGTCACGTGCAAGCGCTAAAGGATTCGTCCTTGTTTTTGAGGTTTTGGAAGCTATTCATCTCAGGCACAAGGTTTGATTAAATCAACAGGCCGCTGTAACGTGTCCCGAATCATGTGAAACCGACTTTAAAAAACATGTCTCCGTTGTTTAATACGGGACAACGGATTGGTTGTCAAACGGGGTAGTCATCGAGAAGCTTATATCTTGCCCGCACAAGTCAGAGCACATAAGCCCCGCCTTAACCTGGAGCTATTGCTGCCTTAAATTCAACGTGTTGATTTAACTTGTTTTCGGGATAGTCTTCACAAAGGTGATATCTTGCCCTTTTCAAGTCAGAAAACATAAAGCCTGCCTTAACCTGGAGCTACTGTACCCATTAGTTCAACATGTTGATTCAAGTTGTTTTCACACTGGACCTCGTCGGGCCGGGTGCTGGTGCTTCCCCCATCGACTGTCAGCTGAGGCCCCACCAGCCCCCTACAGAGCTGGCGCGGCCCCCGCGGCCGTCACGTGCCGGGCTGGGGCGCGGCCATGGGGCGTGAAATCGCTGGCGCTGCCGACGGCGGTCGACCGGGCGCCGTTTCAGCGTCGCTGAGGTCGGTTATTGGTGCCGCACGTGGCCGAGTTGAGCCCTAATCGGCTTAGGCGGCGGCTCATAGCGTGGTGGACCCACTCTGATGCCACAGAGAGAAAGTTCAGACGTTATTGAATTGCGATGTTTCAGGATGAAGGCAATAAACTGTGAATTAGTCGAATAAATTGATGGAATTCGCGGAACGAATGGTGGTTGGTACATCTACCGTGCGTGAATTGTAGCTATCGACTAAAGCAAGCTTGAAGATGATTAGAAATAATATTTCAACAGCTTGTTATTGAATATTTAGCAGTTCGTTTTGCATATAAATCTGTTAACCGACAAATAATCGAATAGAAAACTGTTCATATTTAGGCTTAATGATGAGTGGTATTCAAGCGTCACTGCAAAACTCTACATGTATGGTATTGTTATTGACAGATAAGGTTTGTTGTCCGCGAATGAACCACATTATTTTGGTTGCGACTTGCGAGCCATCGTATAATCTTTGCTCCCAATGTTAGATCTGCTGGTTTCGTTTCACTTATAATCTGAATTTAGCTAAATTCCACATGTTTCCCTTTTGTAGACGATGTTTGATATTCGCCGTGTAGACGATGTTTTTCCCTGGAAAGCCTGACATGTCCCTGACATTGAGCCTAAGGGAATCACCTCTGTTGGAACATCGGGTCCGCAAAGCCTTTACGAGATTGGTTAGAAATGCAATGCGTCACACATTTATTCCGACCATTTATTTTGTTCGCAGTAACTCAAAGCTAAATGCTTCGTAACTAGCATTGACTTTGTTGTTTATGCACAACCTTGGCCGGTTTTCCCTCCCGGTCCCCTTGGTCGTCCCCGAAGTCCCTGGCATTCGCGGACTCCAGTGTCGTCCCAACCCTGCATGTGCGGTATCGGGAGTGCGGCCCGCAGACCCTCCTTCGACTCGACCCGGAAAACGACCCTTCGACCCGACCTGTCAAAGCTTCCTAACCGCCAGCGAGTTAAGGGGCTACTTGACAATCGTTGTGCCCCTTCCCCTGGTTGTTTCTGGAGCTTCGTCACGATTCATCAAATTCAGTGGCCATGCATCATGTGGTCACATTCCTCCCTAACTGTCGCCAACGCGCGTACTTTTCTGTGAGACAACTCGATCATTTCGTAGGACATCTTAACTCCTTGGCGGTGCAAACCGTCCCGGTAACACTGCACATCCCTCCAGGGTTCTGGTTAGTTTAGCGGCCAGAACTACCTCAAATAACACCAACCGTTTCTGGGTGTGGGACCACTTGACCTGAGCAACGGCTGTCTCCTCTCCTTCTCTCTCCATTTCCTGCTCCGTCTTCCTCCACTTTCCAGTCTCTCGCTCCAGCGTTGGTCGACTCCTCGCGGCAACCGGCCGGATTGGCGCCTTATCAGCGGGCCGCAGCGACCGCCTGCCCCGAGGCGATTACGGCCCAATCGACGCCGTCCTCACGGATGAAGGCCTCGGGGCCGCACGGCCGGTCGACCTGACGCAGAGAGATGGCGGTAGGCGTCGACGGCGTAGGTGAGCTGCATACTTTTCGGCATGTGCGTCGTAGGCTGGAAGAACGCTCCTGTCTTGACGCGAAGTATTGAAAAAAGAACAACGGGAAAGGATTCTCCTTATCATGCCGAAACATTGTAGACAAAGATGTGACGAAATTTCAACACAAATGTTTGGGTAATGAGGTACATGCGCGATAGGTACAGCAATTAAGTACCTTCGCAGGCAAAAAAGAACAGCATAAGTTAGACGTAACGTTTATAAAACGGCTAGAAAATGGCTCCAATTTTCAGATTCTTATCAGACATGATAGTTGCCATGGCAACGGTAACAGCATTTCGTGATTGGCACTTGCATGCCTTACAAGCATTTCAGTCCCTTCACAAAGCCGTGCTGAGAACAGATCGATTCAGTATTGAGTTGCATTGGTTTGGTTATGATCAAGGAAGTGTTGCTTTGAGCACAATCGATTCTAATTTCATTATGCTGGCGGGTTGTTTTCCAGTGGGCGTTAGTGATGTGTCTTGGCGCCACAGCTTTCGAATGAACAAATGAATATTGTGCTAACGTAAACCCATCACTATAGTTAAATAATAGCTGACATATCACGGAAAGATTGTCCTGTCGCTTTGCTTGTTCGCCTTGGAGAGCGTGGAAACGTGCATATTCTAGTCTCTTCATTCAAACTGGCTATGTGCTTTAAACTTCTGAAATTAGCGTAGTACATGCGCTTGAGATTTCAACTCCTTTGAAACAGAACCGTCGGCAGTGAAGAATCTCAGTCTATGAAGATGGTAGCGCAGTCGACAAACGAAAACGACACCATGCAGGAGAACGCCCCTCGCTTCAGCTCTCCGAGCTCGAGCTTTCCACAACCTTCGGACCAGCAGCGGAGACGAACGCTGGGCAAATGCGAGCCCTACAAACCTGACCCTGTCGGCGCAAGGCCTGTCGCTACTTTTGTCAGATTCTTGCCAACATCATCCTTTGATCACGAATGCATCAAGGTGGACACGGAAGCCAACGTAAGATAATCTATGGCCTCGTGCCTTAACTTTATGGTAAAAAACAAATATTTACGAGAAAAGAACCATCATTCCGAGTGCTTTTTTAAAGGAAAGGGATTTGAAAGATTATTGAAAAAGAATGTTGTGAATTCTAGAATATAAGAAGTCGTAGAAGTTTCGGTGCATTGTCCTGCTTAATTTCACATAATTCTCTTCTTGGGCATTGCCTTTCATGACTCAAAATTCTGCGAGGTCGTTGTGCGTGCATGGACACCGTCGGGTGACAATGCGGCAGTTGCGCTCTTGTTTATGATTATGCTGTGTATAGGGTTACATCCGGAGGCAATGTGTGGAAGGGGCAATATTTTGATTGTTCTGGATTGCTCTGGCTGCAAAGTTGCCTTTTGTAAACTTGCTCCGGTAAACGTTTCCAAAGGATGGAAATTGGGAATGTTTATTGGGAATGTCCCTGCATGCAGTCGTTCCTGTGTTGCTGTTGCAGACGGTGGGCATAGAATGCGGCGCGGCCACTGGCAAACTTCTTTGCTCGAAGAACCCTCCTCGATCTCGAATGATGTCTTTGAACCAGAAGTTCTTGTCCTTCGGTGCAAATAGTGTGTTCCTGAACGCAAGTCAGGAGGACTTCTTTAACAACGTCATGCAAGATATGGTGGACAAGTAAATACGCCATCTGTGATATCGTCCTTTTCGTTCGCCATTTAGTTCTCACTTGGAGCATGAAGTAAATATGTGGTATCGTCTCTTTCGATTGCCATTTAGTTCCCATCTGAAGCACATGAAATCGTTTCTGGCCCCTTTAATGTTTTTACGTGGTGAAATAAACAGCATTCTTCAGAAACCACTGTAAATGCATTGCTGTACTACACAATTAATCGCGTTATGGACGAAACTGGCACGTCTGATGATTTGCCATTCAAGGGCAAAGTGATGTTAACGACGCAAAAAACGCATTTCTCTGTTCTTTGTGGAATGCTGTTGGCCACGAGCACCTCAAATTTTTCCACGACCCCAAAAATGTCAGTAATGCTCTGAATGTGTGACTTTACTGGGGAGGCAAGCTGGCGCTGTTCGTCCGGTTGACTCAGCCCTTGTGACCGGGCCCAGACACGTTAAGAACGTGTGGGCCTATACCACTGACCGCATGAGGTAAGTTGCCTGAAAACGCTTGAGAGTGAGTGCAAGTACGTGAATGTCGGGACGCTTTTTGTCGTTTGCAAAATGTATTGCAAGGACGTGTGTGCTTTCCAGATCGCTGGATGGCTACAGTGGAACTATCATCGCCTGTGGATCGGTGGGGACTGGCAAGACCTACACCTTGTTCTCTCCCAAGGAGAAGTACCAGGTGCGAACCAGGTGCCTGACTTGTCGAGCTGCTGTGTCCGTCACCGACAACGAGCCGGCCGAGCCGTGGGCTAGAGTAGAGCGAACAGTGATGCGATGTAGGGAGGGGCACAGTCGAGAGATCGCAGATGAACCAACTCGGTTAATACATGGGCTCTTCGAGTCACTTCCAAGAGGCATCTCAGATCATACAAAATGGCTCGAAAAATCGCTCAAAAGATCAACGGCTAGAAGCTGACGTGAGTTGCTGTCATGCATCCTTTCCGGCTTGAAATAACAAAGCAATGCTCTAAGTGTCATCTGTAACAAGAGCTGTCGCCACATCAATTATATTTAATTCCATCGTGTCATATCACTCGAAATGCGCACGCCTGACCAACGCCACCTTTGTGGCGTTGGTCGTCTGTATTTCGTTCAGGGTATCGTTTAGGGACATAGCTTAGGGCCATCTGTATTTCGTTTAGGGTATCATTTAGGGTATCGTTTAGGACATCTGTATTTCGTTTCGCCATTGCGCGCTGCCGCGCTGCCGCAGCCGGACTGAAGCTGCCGCTGTTTCAGTACCGCGGCCTGGTGGCGCGCTGCGTGGAGCGCCTCTTCAAGACACTGGCGGAGTGGGACGAGCGCACCGCTGCCATCTCCATGTCCTTCATCGAAGTGGTCGGCGAGACTGTCTATGACCTGCTGCGACCCAAAAAACCAAGCGTCACCATCGTCGATGGCGGGAACACCCTGCGCTTGAATGTAACGTGTCGCAAGTACCATGGTGCACCGTGGTGCCTCTAGGAGCTGACGTGTAGGAGCCAGTCCGAATGACGAAGTCTTGCCTCCGTAGCGCTCTTGCGGTGCCACAAATATGTACACAAGGGTTGTCGATTTGCCAAAGCGGATACGCTACCAACATTGAACTAGCTGTCGACAGACTGCTACTTTTGGACGCATCCACGAAACCACAGTGAGAGCAAAGTACAACGAATTAAGTGATGTGTAGATGCCAATTGCAAGCCAGTAAGCTATAGATGTTTTGTGACTAACAACCAGGGTATCAGTTGAAAACACTACAAAGGAAGGTTTGATGCCGAAATGTGTACCTTAGACTATATCATGAGTGACTGTGTATTCAACAATGACCAGCCAGCCCCTGTAAGCTGCGGATTCGCTTCCACTTTCGGATTATGATGTCCCACAGCCGAAGGTGGTACTAGGCAGCACACTGGGCGGCAAATACAATACAGCCAGCCACAGCCATACCGTTGCAGGGTATGTTTTCTGAGCGAGTGGTGACGGCGGAGTCGGCGCTGGTGGCGCTGTTCCGTGGCTGCGCGCTGCGCACGACCCACCAGCACCCGCGGAACTCCGCCGGCAGCTCCACCGGCCACGCCATCCTCACGCTCAGCGTCGAGTCGCGCAGCCTGGTGGAGACAGAGCCGTTCGACCGGCACGCCGAGGTGAGACATAGCAGCCAGTCAGCAGCGCTGGAGCCGTTTGACCAGCACGCCGAGGCGAGGAACATCTGCCAGTCAGCAGCGCTGGAGCCGTTTGACGGGCACTCCGAGGTGAGGCACAGCAGCCAGTCAGCAGCGCTGGAGCCCTTTGACCGGCACGCAGGGGTGATGCATATCAGGCAGTCAGCAGCGCTGGTGCAGAGCTTGGTAGCCATTGATGCGATCTACTCTGGCTGTGCATCCTCTGCTCCAGGACCGAAGTCAGACACCACTTTGTCCTCCGCGTACAGCGTGGTATGATCTGAGCAAGGAGACTTCCTGGAGGCAGGACGTCCAAAAAATGCTCCGCGCCTTTGAAATACGTGGCGAAGGTGTACGGCTGCGTCATCTAAAAAATAATGTTAGTTATTCTGCAAATATAGCTCAAAGTGAAGACGAATTAGATGAACGCATATACACCCGACTGCCCCATGAAAACAGCCCGCATCGGTGCGCTAGAACATGAAACCGTTTAATTTCATCTAGCCAATCGGTCGCACATTTGCACAGTTCTGCAGAAGATCACGCACGACTCCTTGGGGTGCCAAATATACATGTCGGATGATCCATAACTTTCACCAACCATAGAAGAGGCTAACTGTCCCAGTCGGTTGTTGGAAGATCGTCAAGAACCAGGGGAATACCAAGAGCCAAGGCCAAAGCTTGTAAACTTGCCGTCATGGCGTAATCAAGGGCAAAATGCCTACCTACAAGCTCCGTATCTCCCTCAAATTTGTGATGGGCTCATCGATTTTGCCGAATTTGCAGGAGTGGTAGGATGTCATGTGACCTATAAGAGCTTATTGCTTATTGTTGGGAAAAATTCGGGATCAAGGGCCAGGGGTCAGGTTCACGTTGTGCCTTTTTTAGCATTGACGTACACTTGAGCCCAATTTAATCCTGCATGACCATTTGCTGTCGACGCGTCCTGAAACTCCAGACACCAGTTTGATGCCCAGATGTTAACAATAGAACTGAGAGGTGCTAAAATGCCGTCCAAGCACATGCAGCCTGGGCTCAGTTTCCGGCCCACTTCTATGTGACCGTGTTGACCCCAAAGTACGATCTCTACAAAACCAAAACTAACTGTCCCTCTGGCCTTTGTTTGTCACTGCCCCAATTCCATTTGGTTTACTGTTGACACTTCGAGATATGGAAGCTATGTCATGTAGTGAAGGAACAAATGGGACTGACAAACACCGAAATTTTTAGACGGACGCTAGTGCTTACGCTGGTAAATATTTTGATCGTTGTAAAGCTTAAATCGACCATTAAGCTTTTTGGAAATATTGAGCACTCGATCCTTTGAGCCTGAATTTGACCTTGAACAGTAGCCTTGAGAGATGGGATACTTTTACTAATGCCAATGCATGCAGCGGTGATTTTTCCGACATGGAGAAGACTCAAATCGACTGGTAATTTTTGGGTGATAGAGTTTCCGTCTTCTAAGAATAAATTTGGCCTTGAAGGGTGACCTTGAAGGGTCAGGACTTCTTAACGGATGCTAGTTTATGCGCCAGTGATTTTCTGATGCTTAGAATTCCAGATCGGCCGGTTGTATGTGGGTGGTATGGAATTCGCCGGCCATTGAGCCCGAACTTAGGGTTTTCAAGTATTATAATATTCACCACTACGTGAACTACCATGCGTCAAAAACCAACACCTTCCGAAGTCCTCTTTCAAGGCCATATTCAGGATTAAAGGATGGAAAACTCCATATTACCAAAAATAACCGCCCGATTTGTACTTTTCAAGCATTACAGTATTCACCAGCGCAAGCGCTAGCGTGCGTCCAAAACTTTGACCCCTCAAGGTCACCCTTTAAGGTAAAATTCAGTCTCACCGGACGAAGAAATCAATAACACGAAAAATTAGCGGCTGCTTTGGGATTTTTGAGTGGCAGAAAAATCACTAGTGTATGAAATAGTGAAAAGGTCCTGACCACTCAAGGCCATTATTCAGGTTAAAATTTAGGCTGAAATGACGGGAAACTCAATGTTATCAGAAACTCTGGGGATTTCGGATTTGTTAGTACCAGAGAACCCACTACAGCATTAACTATCATCCGTCAAAAAGAACTTTTCTTATGGTTACCTTTCAAGCTCAAATTTAGGCTCAAAGAACGGGAACTTGATATCACAAAAAATACCGGCCGATTTCAACTTTTCAAGCATCAGAATATTCACCAGTGAAGGAACTAGCGTCCGTCAAAAAGCCCTTACCTATCAAAGCCATCCAACAAAGTTGAATTCAGCCTCAACTGACGGAGAGCTCGTGTGATCAAAAGCTAAGTTGTCAATTTCAGCTTTTCAAACATCTGAACATTTGTCAGCACAAGAACTAGGGTGCGTCGAAAGGCCCTGAAGACTCAAAGTCATCCTGCAAGGTCAAATTCATTCCGTGATATAGGTAGCGACGATTTACGATGACGATGACGATGCATGATGACGATGATTTCAATGTTACTGAAAATGCGCCTTTTGGTCAATTATGGCACGAGAACAGCAAAAATAACCTTTTTGGGAGGATGGGAGGGGAGAGTTCTTCCACATACGAAAAAATCTTGAACATGTGACACCCCAGTTTTGGCCCCCAATTCTAGTGTCTTGGAGAGGATGCATTTCTCGCTTGTTTTGAGAATCTAATTGCTGACTGACACTGATTCCTGACTTCATGGCAACCAATGGATCCACAAGTTCATGGACGAAATTAGGGACAGGATTACACCGGCGTCATGTCCACCTTAAACATCCGCATCGACAAGATTATTATTACTAGATTTAGAAGATTTACAAGATTATTAAAGATTATTATTACTATTGCAATTTCAGAATCAGAGTAACTCCGAAAATTTGCTTACGTTTTGAGCGGTGCCCTCTTCCACCTAGTGGGCGTCTAAAAGGATAGCGTTCAGCGCAACTTTGCTGGCGGAAAAATATTTTTTTCGTGCACGAATCGCTCAGTGTCAGTCATCTAGTCGCGCGGAAAGAATATTCTGGCTGCCCTGATAAGTCATTCCAGAGTTTGTGGTAGAGTAAAGTGGTTACTCCCGACAACTTAGTCGTAGCGGGAACTCTTGCATCTACCCGGCCAGTGGGGGTAAATGTCGCCTACCCATGTACTGCAGATGACGTAAGCTAGGATCAGGCATTGTTTACCATGACATCATGTTTTGACAGGGAAAGAAGCAGAAAGCCATCTCATTCAGAATTTCAGACTTGGATTAAAACACGTTAGGGGAGACAAGGGAGAGTTGCATCATCTTTATTCAGAGCTCAGCTATAACATAACTACTGAGGATGGTGGACCAATGCGTGTATCCCTGCAGACGATTATAGCCTTCAGCTACATATAAAATGTTAAAATCTGGGAGAACGTCCTCACTTTTTGTTAACTGACATCGGTACGAACACGTTTCAATGATACAACCTGGCCTGCTCTTGGAGCAACCGTATCACATGGTGTGGGGAAGTTATATCAATTTTGTAACTAGAGTAGGTTGAATCGCGAGCAAGCTGAACGTGTTACGATATGCGAGTAAAAAATGCCCGTCACAATTCGTCGTGATTCCCACATGAGAAATATTTTCCCTTTCTAGTCAGCTAGTGTTTACTTTACAACTACTATCACCTCGGTTTTGGTGCTCGGGTAGGTATTGTGGATCTGCATGGGTACTGCAGATGCCGATGTATTGTCTGGATGGCAAAGAGTGGCGGTAATTATTTCATTGAATCATTGATAATAAGCCAGACAGTGACATCTTTGTCGGTGCAATGTATCACTGACACAATATGCCCCATGCACAGCTGGTACAACATGTACTGTCCGCCATCTTGGAAGAAAGCTTGCACCACCCCGAAATCCTTTGCGAGCAGTCGCCAGACGTTTTGCGGCATGTACAACACACGCGCTTCCTACCAATCCGTACAACATTCCACTTAGCCTGCCTTTGTCAGAAAAGTTTGAGAACGCATTTCCACCGATCACTAGAACTTTCAGCGATATGTAAAAAGATATCTGTCGCGCTCACCCCAAGACGCGAGCACGCATGCAGCCGGAAGCACATTGAAAGATAGAGGGGGCTGCTGTGCGTCGGCCGCGTGATTCACGACCATCTGCCGCATGTGTGTAGAGTAAATCGCTCTGATATAACTCATTCCACCCTCCGCTACTTTCCAGCAAAGATCACGCTGTAGGAGTAACGCTTCCGCAACTATACCCTTGTCATGAGCTTTTTAGCCATGAGTTATCTGAGCGTAGGCAAAATTGTTCTTAGTGTAGGCATATGCATGCTTTTTTGTCATGTATCTGACAGAGTGTATCATATCATGATAACCATCCACCTTTGAGAAGGCAAGCTCAAAGAAATTTTCTCACGATTAGAGCTTAAATACACCGGTCTTTATATTCCCTGCTTGAATACACCGGTCTACCCACCTCGTGTTCTGACTTGTTTATATTTAAGCTGATTCACACATATTTAGGCCCAATGAATGTATGTCAGTTTATAATACTGAGCTGGATGACGTGCTCATTCTGTGAATGACAGTTTGACGTGTTTATAGCGTAGTTGACATTGGCACTTTGTCAAGATGTTTGCAAAAGTTCCTGTCATGGTGTCCATGGCTAGCGTTCATGCGTTGCACGCACTGCATCACTTACTTCTGCACTTGTTCTGGCTGCTGGGTGTGTATTTACGGCGTCCGTCTGGGCCACACGCCCCGAGCTGTATTTCAGCTGACGTTTGTGGACATGGCCGGCTTTGTTTCGGCTGCTGGGTGTGTATGTATAGTGCTCGCCTGTGCCACATTTCCCCGGCTGTTTTCCAGCTGACGTTTGTGGACATGGCCGGCTTTGTTTTGGCTGCTGGGTGTGTATGTAAAGCGCCCGCATGTGCCACACTTCCCGGCTGTTTTCCAGCTGACGTTTGTGGACATGGCCGGCTTTGAGAAGCTGCGCAGCTGGGAGAGCTGCTCCGGCCGGCTCATTCCCGGCGTCGTGGTCGGCGTCAACAAGTCCATGACCTTCCTGGAGCAGGTAGGCTTGGAAGGAGCAGACGCGTCTGACCATAGCCAGGGCGTTCAGGCCCACAACGGTGGCCGCAGGGGGAGCTTAACACATTGATCGGCACAGGGTTGGGGTGATCATTTTGGTCATGGTCATGCGTGCGGTGCTATTTGAGGACGCGTTCAGCGGTACAGCGGTGCAGTGGCTGGCAGTGGTGAGCTGTCGGTAAGGGACGCAGCAAACAGAGCATCCGACACACTCAGCGTTCCGTATCAGTTCATGAGCCCTGCACGCATCAGATTGCAGGCATGGTACTGCGGGCTCCGATGATGTATACCCGGATGACTGAATGTGTGGCCATTATAGAAAGCTGTTTTGACAATAAATGCTCATACTTCTACGTCCGGACATATCTCCAGACTCAAGCTCACACGGAACAAGCGTGCACCTACTGCCTTCGCAATGGAAAATGTGGGGTTGAATTTAACTGGTTTAACTAGCGGCACGTACCTCTGTTTAAACCTGCTGACGACTTGTGAAAATTAGGTCATTCCTCGGTCATTCATGAATCTGACCTTTGATACCCGCGCATGGAAAGTGCTCATGCTGCTGGGCTGTGAAATGTGTACTGACAGCAGTTTGGCATATTTTGGAAACCCGCAATATCGTGACCTATGGCCCGTGGTTTAACACCGGGCCTCACGGTCAGTTCGACCTAGGTCATCGGATTTGGGCGTGCTGTGATCTGCCTGACCATGCCAGGCTAAGGTAGGCCAGGCCGAACCTCTCAGGTTGATGTGACCTGTCTGACCATGTCAGGCCGGGGTAGGCCAGGCCGGACCTCTCAAGTTGATGTGACCTGTCTGACCATGTCAGGCCGGGGTAGGCCAGGCCGGACCTCTCAGGTTGATGTGACCTGTCTGACCATGTCAAGCCGGGGTAGGCCAGGCCGGACCTCTCAGGTTGATGTGACCTGTCTGACCATGTCAGGCCGGAGTAGGCCAGGCCGGACCTCTCAGGTCGATGTGGCCTGTCTGACCATGTCAGGCCGGGGTAGGCCAGGCCGGACATTTCAGATCGCTTCAGAGGTTTTTGAAAAAATTCTGGAACTTTACAATAGAACCGTGTAATTGGGGTGTAAAACAAATAAATTACTTCTTAAGAAGGAGATTTCCATGTTTAGTTGTTCCATCCACGACTGCACCGATGGAAAGACAGGCAGTGGATGCACCCAAATTTCGACCATTATCGGAAGCAAATGGAACCTGCCATGCTCCCGTATCAGAGGATTGTTATAAAAATAAATCTGTACCGACGTAGTGTGTCCGCAGCGCTAACTTTTAAGCGATATACACAGCATTTGTAAGAATCGATCGTCTTGCAATAGTTCCAGTCAAACTAAAACTCTATATAGTTTGCTTAATGTAACTTCGTTTTCAGCTGATCATGTCGATGGCAGAGAAGCGTTCATACCTTCCAGTGCGAGTTTCGAAGCTAACCCACATCCTGAAGTCGAAGATCGGTAACAAATGCGACACAAGGTAAGCTGCGACATCGGTTTGCGAGGTTCTTAAAGGGAGTATCCCACATTTGGGAAATGCTCCAGAAGCCTACTCCGGCGAAACCTCAGTACCAGTTACGCCTAAGAATAGCTCTGGGTAGTGCTGACATTTGATGCCTGTGCTAACGCGGCGCCATCAAGATATTATGGAATGATTTATTTGAATTATTCGCGAGTCAAAATTACGCTGACAATGTTTTGACACGGCACCGCACTTCTTTTTCTTAGTAGCCCCAGAGTGTCACCCTAGGTTGGACGAGCGACTATTCGCAGACCCTTCCCATTGAATATCTGTCAATCCTACCGCCACCTATCAACGCGTTTTCAAGTCAACTACGTGACCGCGGCGTGTAGCAGAAGTCTGGCCGGGGCCACCACCATAATATGCATCCATTACGAGTCGTTCTACACGAATGGCTTAATGTTCCGTTCGAGTCAATGTGCTGTATGTTGGATAGCAAAAACGACGATGCAACCATGATGAAAACGCATCAGGAACGTAATGAAGGGCACACAGGAAAACACTTCTCTCGATGTCACGCTAGTAAAATCTTTACAAAAACATAGCGCAACTATGGGAGGTCACAACGGCTGGCGGCAGGCGGCTCCAGGACGAGGCCACAAGATATGGAAACGCCCTGTGAGACATGGATAGTCAGAAAGAGGACAGCTCCAACGAGCCGGTCGCCGTTGGCCGGACACTCCAGGCCAGCAAAATTGCCATCCTTTCATCTTAACCACTCCTACATTACATCATCCCCCTTGCCGTCCGTGAAGATGCTGGGAGCTACCTTCGGCCGTATCCTCCCCTGATAAAAGGCCATCAACATCAGTTAAAAGTACAACATCATTCTGTTCAGCTATATCAATATCCGATTGATCATTTGATTTCATTTCAATCCCGCAAATTCCTTATCGGAGTTGACGTTTCCCTCTCGTCGAGTGCTGCTCTCAGTCTGGGGCGCGGACGCTGCCTGCTATCTCAGCCGCATGCGAAAGGTGAATATCGTGGTCTGGGTCATCCCGTGGGCACGGGGCCGGGATCACATCTCATCCACTTTGGAGTCGCTGGGGTGGCGCGGCATGAATAACTTTGCTACGCGCCTTCACCACACTGGCATCTTCCGGGTTATGAATGACCCTTGCGCTCCGGTGGCGGTCGGTCCGGTCGCTGCCCACCCCTGCACCGTTGTTGGTCAGCGCCTCGCGAGATCGGTGGCGGCTGCCGCCCTCTGGCTGCCCGCTTTCCGGCTGAGACGAAGGAAAGACTGTGTGAAAGACTAAGATTGGCCCGCAGAGCGTCGACGTAATTTGTGGCCTCGTACTGAAACCGCCCGCCGTAGCCGTGGTGGATTCCCGGAGCCGTGCTGTGTTCATGTCCACGCCTTACGAACATGACGTAGAGGAGAGTCTTTGTCTTTGTGCGCTTTTGTTACGTTATTGGTTTGTCTTTATCATTATTGCATATCCGTTCTTAAAGGACAGTTTGAAGCCAATTGACTAGAATGAAACGTTAAGCCACAGATATCGAACGAACCGTGATGAATACAGGATAATGATGACCATTACGGTAGCAGCCAGGAACGTCGCTTTAAAAACCTTCGGAAAGGCCTGAGCCCCTCACCCCTCACCCCCACCCACCCAAGTGCTGACTTGAACCCCCTTAATGCGTATGAGCTAAGAGGGAGCACTGGGCCAAATGGATGCGGGAAATTATCTTAAAAGTTGGAATGCTAGGCAGCAGGCACCTAAACAATCCATTGATATTTTCATGTTCATTGTGTACCAAAAAGTTTCCTGCGGGCATCTCATGCCTTTGCCATGCGAACACCGTCATATGTTTAACCAGTCTGCGTATTCTTGACACGTTCGGACATTCTTGACGACAATAACTGCGTAAGTATTTGTACAAAGAGTAGTTTACCGCAATATGTGGCAATTTTTAAAAGTGCGAGATGGTCCAGATAAACCTTAACGCACGTTTTCCCCAAACAGTGTCAAGTGTGTTTGTTGCATAATGGTGGCTGTGGTGGTTATGCGATACGACCAGCGACGGCGGTAGTCATGAGTGATCCGTTATTAAGATTTATTACGATCCTTTTTTACTGTAAATTTTACTCCATTCCAAGCAATTCATAAAACGCAGCGTATATTTACTTGAAATTTGAAGTCGTACCTCTGCAGAAAAACAATGTTAAGCCTACGAAATCTTAAAGAAGTGTTTTCAATTCTAACATTGAGAGCGGGAATTCAAGAAAGCCAAAATCCGTGGGGGAATCAGGTTTTGGGATTAGGTTAGGTCGACATTTTCTGACAAGTCCCCCCAACTGATTTTAGAAAGTGACACCCCTGGGGTAACTTGTAGCCAAGAGTTCTGTTGTGACGAGCTGCGATCACACCATGTGATTTGAAAACTCGTTGGCAGATGGCAGAAAAATCGGCAAGTATTCCCTGTTGAGGATCCACGAACAGTCGCTCCTCTAGTCCGCGACTGCTGTCGCCATGACAGCGGGCCGTTGTCAGCTATTGTGGACTAGAGGTACCACTGTTGAGCTGTTTTAACCGGCACATTTAGGGTCTGCAGGCCTAAAAAGTTTGAAGTGGTGCGTCACTATCAGAGTTAAAGAAACCGGGTGGAACAAAGTTCAGTTAAAAAACTGCAGTATAAAACAGAAATACACTACATGTACAATGCATGCTAAATCTTCAGTTCATACTAAAATATAAAACATCTAGTTCATACCAAAAACTCCTTGATTTGACGATACGTCTCCCCCAGTTCTTTCTGTGCTATTACCTGTTTCTCGGGAGGTGCTGGGACACACTGTCTTCAGCATGTGGAACTTTGCGGCCTGTGGTTCTGGTGGCTTGTGTTTCCGCTTGCTGAAGGGCAGTTTTCCAGCTATCGGTGACGTCACTTTCACATTGCCAACCCCTGTCTTACCCATTCATATATCCGAGGCGTTTGGAAACATTCCCAAGCCTATTCCATTTCCAAGCCCGGTAGCCTATCTAGCCCACCCGACTTTCGTCCAATATCCCTAGTTCCTATTATCAACAAAGTGGTCAAGCGAGCCATGCAACGGTGGTTTTACCACCACCTACCCCATAACCATCTCCTTACATCTTCCCAGCACGGATCCCGTCCCCGTCACTCCGGAAACCACTCTAGTGTCGGTCTCCGACACCTTTTTGGCGCCACTAATGGAGGGAGGTCTCACTTCTGCGCCTTTTTGGTTGAAGTAAATGTTTTGACGGTATTTAATCACCAAATTTTTATTCAGAAGCTGCAGATGTACGGTGCTGAGACCTCCTGTTTGGCCGCCTATCTTCAGGGGCGCAACTAGAGTGTGTACCTGAATGATGGGTCAGGACACAGTGTGCTGTCACGGTCGGTTGTCAACAATATGGGCGTCTTCCAAGGTTCGGCATCAGGGCCAGTTCCTTTTCACAGTTTGCTCGAATGGTCTGTCTTTGTACGCAGGAAACGCACACGTTTTCTTCAATATGCAGATGACATCCAGATTTTTGTGAGTGGTCCAAAGGACGACCTGGAGGGACTAAATGTAAATAATAGTAATGCAAATGTAAATGTAAATAACAGCAATAGTAAATGATCGCCTGAGCACGATTTATTACTCTCTAGCTTAGTAAGCTACTTTCTTTTTAACTAACCTCACCTCACCTCCTTTACCTCACAGTTCGTCCCGTTGCTCAGTTAGTTAGATAGTGTTCCTTACGGTCCAACCACCTAGGAGGGGAGGGGGGGGGGGGGAGCAAGTCGTTTTAGGCGCTCGCTATTTGGCCTTACCAGGTATGGCCTGCGGCCGACGGCAACGGGCGCACTAAAGGTCAGGTGGTGTCAGAAGGCAGTACGGACCGTGTCGAGCATTGCAGCACGTTTCATTTTGGCCTCCAAATTCTGCCGTTGACCTGGCATTGCACGATCGGATGGCAGGGGTCAGGGAGTCAGACAACAGCCGCCGCTTGGAGGTAGCTCTGGTACCAGAAATTCATCCACTCAGAAGGTTCGGATCAACTTTAAAAAACAACTACGGCGGTGGTCATTGGTCCGCGTATGGCAGCCGTGCACTAACGGTGCGGGTGGCTCGCCGACCGCTATCAACGGCCGGGCATAACCGCTGCAGAGCCAATGATGAGGCTTTGACGCTGCAGGTCGGTGACTATTTCAGACGCAGAGGAATACTGCACCAGGCAACCCTTGAGCTGGAAGGCTTTAAGCTAACATTGGTATCAAAATAAAACATTGCAAGATGTAAATTTTTTCCTTGAAATACTAATAATAATTTTTACTTTAAATTTTCTCTTTTAAATAACGCTGCATAATATAAGCAAATTTTATATGGTAAATATAACTAAGCGTATACGGTAAATGATGCAAACAACCAGGCCGTGATCACAGAAAGTTAAACGTGCCGCCAGTGATGTGCTCCACGTTCACGACACCGGACGACTTCACCAGCTCACTCACCACCAGCTTGTTCATCAGTCGTGCGTGAGACCAGGAGCACGGGCACGAGACTGGGTCTTGGTCGGCACGGTCCCAGGGGCCGCGCGATGCCACCACCAGCGCCCTCACTCGGGCATGACGACAGCGCCACCTCGGCCGCTCGGCAAGCCGCGCGATCCTCTGCCTCGGCAACACGCGGCAGCAAACGACGGCCTCGGCTGTCAACTGTACGACGGCCTCGGCTGTCAACTGTCGCAGCCGCCTCCCGCGGCCCGGCGGCTGCCGTCTTGATGTGCCGGGAGGCGGCGTGGTGCCGCCGTGAGCACTTGCGAGAGGCTAGAAAATATCGGTGGCTCAGGCTCTCCAGACAGTGGCCGCGGTTTTAGGACAAAAGGGGTATGAAAAAGTGCATGTGCATTAAGTGTGTACGCTCAAGTACGTATGTTTGCAAGCGGACGTATATAAGATGCAAAGTTCGTATGGGATAAGTGCGTATGCAAAAGTTCGTACGCAAAGGCTCGTGCGAGAATGTTCGTAAGGTGTGGAACACGTCTGTATAATACTGGTCTTGACTTAAGCTTGCGAAAACAAAAGTTCACACGGAACATGTTCTTAGGCATAAAGGACGTGCGGAAACGTTACAAGCAATTGTACGCAGGCAGAGGTCCGTGACCGATGGCGTTCGTTTCGCAAAAATACGCACGAACAAAATTCGCATGCATTTATCATACAGTGATACGTTTGTATGGGTAGTTCTCCTATGGGGGAGTATTCCATAACAGATGGACCACCCGAGTACCAAGTGATCTTGTCGTCCGCTTTGAGAGTTCAGTGAAAGTTGATCTACATGGTATGTTAGGAGCATGAATATAGCTGTGTAATTTCTGACTCTATCCATCTTACATTTAAAAGTTATACCATCGGGCAATGCTGATTTGGGTGCGGAAGTCCTTATCACATCTGTTGCAACGTGTCCATATTTTGCTCTGGGCTCTGCGGTTCACATAAGTACCCGCATACCGTGTGTTACTCGCGCTTCTGTCCATCGTATTGAACAGGGGAGCTGGCTTTCACCGCGAGCGTCAGCTGCGACCGGCGCGGGAGACGACGTTCCCTTCATCACTCACCCTCACGCCGTCACACTGAGGGATGAGGGGGAACACAACAAACACGGCGGATGATCTGCAGTGATTTTTTTCTTTGCCGGCGGTCCATTCAGTCCCAGGATCAGTTTGCGTCACTCCCATTCACTCTGGCTCATTTCCGGCAACCGGAGGGCAGCTAGCAAATGCAATTGCATAATGGGAACCAGCAAAAAAGTACAAGTTCATTTCATAAAAATTTAGGCTTATCATCAGACTTGAACCAAGATACAAAATTACCTCTGTTCATCGTCGTCCCCAACCTTCCTCCCTCCCTGGTCGACGGGATGTGGTGACTCCCGCAGTGATCAATCATCCAACGCTCGACAAGGATGGGCAGGGCTTCCGCACACGAACATGCAGTGCATACCTGTCCACAATCTGTTGCGTACCTACCTGTCAAACGAACTTTATCCCTGAGCAGCATTTGCATGCAACGACTGTGTTCTTACATGATACATTTGCGTACGAACTTTTCAGTAGGTACTTTTGCTAAACGAACTTGTGGTTGACGAACTCTAGGCGCATGAACATTGTCCTACGAACATGTACCATGGGAGATTTTTCTATGCGCACTTTTGTCCACAACGACGTGAATATGAACGTCTAGACGCAGTTCAACAAAACATTGTAGAGAACGAAATCTTAGCAAACAAATCCTTGGATGCATGCGGACCGCGTTAGCTGCAATGCGTGTTATTGTGCACATGCCCATGCATGCATAACACCATGCGCGAGGACGCTGGCGGTGCGTCCTCGCTGTTGATTGTAGCACGCTTTATTTTTTAGCACATACGTATGATTGCAGTATTTAAGTTACACGCCCGTGCTTGGAAAGGATCCCGCACCGTGGTCATGGTTATGGTGCTGCGCCGGATTATTCAAATACGTTGTGGCCGGTTATGAATTTAAACGTGTGGCCACAATAAGGTAATGGGGTGGTAAGCATTTACAAATGGCACTGTTTATTCTTCAGCAGCCTGCAAGTGGTTAGCAATTCCACTGGCGGGCGAGCAAAGATGGACGTTGACATTTAGCCCATAGCTGTACCCCTGCGTGCAGAACTCGCCTATGCACCCTGAATTTAAAAGACATGGTACTTGCGTGTTATCTTCTGATCTACTGTTATCTTCTGATCTGAACTTCCGGTTCCGATGGAGCATGGTTTATTCGCAAGCAGTGCGGACGACAGGCTGACCCATGGCTGACAGCCGCAGCATGCTCCTGATGGCTGACGGTCGCAGCTGACGACCTGTGGCTGACGACCGCAGCTGACGGCCTGTGGCTGACGGTCGCAGCTGACGGCCTGCGGCTGACGGCCGCAGCATGCTCCTGATGGCTCACGGTCGCAGATGGCAGCCTGTAGCTGACGGTCGCAGCTGACGGCTTTTGGCTGACGGTCGCAGCTGACGGTCTCTGGCTGACGGTCGCAGCATACTCCTGATGGCTGACGGTCGCAGCTGACGGGCTGTGGCTGACGGTCGCAGCATACTCTTGATGGCTGACGGTCGCAGCTGACGGGCTGTGGCTGACGGTCGCAGCATACTCCTGATGGCTGACGGCCGTAGCTGTCGGCCTGTCAGGTTGACGGTCACAGCACGCTCCCGAAGAGACCATGTCTTGAGAGATGCAGGATCAAGCAGCGAAGAACAAACGAGGGAATGCTTTTCATCAGCTTAAAGGCACGGGAGATAGTCCCGAAAGACGGGACGAACTGTACCAGCCTCCATATGCTGACAAGGGCGCAATACTCAGTCGTATGTGCGACGTTAGCAAACGCGGTGCGTCCTTTTTGTGAGCAGTTGCATGAAGCATAACGGCGCTATCGAACATGTGACGTGCCATCTCTTTCCTTGTTTTCATGCTCTGCAGATTGATCGCCTGCGCGAGTGGTGAAGAGGGACATCTATCGGAAACGCTGGCTACTCTCAGGTTCGCTGTTCGGCTACGAGGTGTCGTCTGCAGCCCCAAGCAGGAGCTGATCGACGACCCGACGTTGATGCTGACTAAACTGCAGGTAGGCTGGTCGTTACGTGTGTGAGCGGCATTGTTTTAGAAGGGATCGGGCTCGGGAATGGCGGAGAAACCTTCGGTATCCAATGGGTGTGATTGCTCTTGGCGCTATTAAAGTCGTGTAAATCGTCATAGTCATTAGTCGTTAGTCTTAAATACATGTCATTATGGTCGTAACTTTTAGTCGGTGGTAAATAATAAGTCGGTAAGAAGTGGTTAAACGTTCCTGATCATAAAAGAACTTACCATCCAAGTATATTATCGAAAGTCACTTTTGTTATATTCGCCCTAAACACGTGACTTTCGCAGGTGTACGCCATTTTATTATTTTCCCACTTTTAATTAGTGAGCTACACTACCGAGAAGCATGGCTCATGCAACAGTATACTGTAAATTTATGGTGCACTGACAGTATTCAACGCTTCGAGGTGAAGTTATCCCAATCGTGGCCATAAACCGCAGCCTGAAACGTCTAGTATTGTCAACATAGTAAATGCTGCACTACAATGTCGCTTATCAGTACTGCTGGCATATCGAAGGTTGATAACTCAACACAAGAGCTCGGAACACATCAGGCCGAAAAAACAAAAGCTGAAGTCCTTTCTGTTAAGCCAAGGATTATTTTCCCCGGTATGTTTGTTGTGTGAGCTTGCAGGCAAAAACTTGGATCTCAACGACTTAGGTCAAGTTAGGCCTCATAATGTATTCGTGCTAAAATCCAGCGTCGCCCAATATGTGTACTGAGTTGGCCGCGGGTGTAGTTTCGTAAAGTAAGTTGGGTGAGGGGGACGCTGAGCAGTAAACAATGTCTAAGTTAATACCCAAAATCAGCAAAAAATGGACTTGACCTCGTATTTGGCCCGTTAATTCTCAAACTTACGGGATGCTGAAGACCGCACGCGAATGGAAAGGAGACAACCCTCTAGCATTAGCCCACTTCTTATCTCTCCCTTGAACTTCACTGCTCCTGTCTTGTGCAAGCCCCTTGAGATTTCCACGAGTGGACTGGCTGCCCCCTTGCAGTCAGAGGAGGTATTGGTCAATGCCCTAAGGGTCCTTTATCACCCCTGTCAGTCAGTGCATACAACTTACGATACTATGTCACATAAAACAGACCATACATAAAACGTTTGCTGATGTAACATCTGACGGGCCATGGTACCCCTGCAAACTTCTCGAGGAGGGGCGTTTCGGCCCTTGAAGCCCTTTTTGTTACCCGGTGGCCCTCTCGTGCATCGCATGGGCCCACACTTAGGTTAATGTGAATGCTCGTTGTACATGTGTGCCACTGTTCCTCTCTTTTTCAAACGAGGAAGCAGCAAACAACGTCAAACCTGCCTTCTAATAACGATGAACGCATGCATGACGCATGCATTCGACCACTAAAGGTGCGCATGGGTGCTTTATTCTATTGGCGTTGACACAGTCTGCTACCGAGCCATGGCTTCAAACGTCCAGGATCGCGATATAATCTGTCAATGGGGAACACGTGACCGAGCACGCCTTGCTCAAACTGCGAGAAGAATGTCAAGAAAGACGCTTGCCCAAAACGATCCGACCACTCACCAGACTTTCCCTGACATGACTGGACATGATCTGACCTGACATGACATGACCTGACATGACCTGACATGACATGACGTGACCTGACATGATCCAACCCTATCTAACCCAACTCAACGCAGCCCGACCCGACCCAAGCCGACCGGGTACCCCGGTCCGGGTCCGAAAGTAAGTCAGTCAGTCACTGGTCATGCCTGCACTCAGGAAGTTTTCGGCAAAAAACAGCGCAATTATTCAAGAACTTTGCCCATTGCAGTACTTCACAGGCGTTCTCATACAAGCTGTTCAATCCTGACAAGCGTTATTGAAACGCTGCAATATAACCACAAATAAGTGGGAAATAATGGGCTTTCACGCTATATATATAGCCAGAAAGGGGTGGCGAAGGCGCGAGGCTCGATAGGAGTGGCACTGAGCACTTGTGGCGGGCCAGACAAATTGACATCAATGCATGTACCTAGGTATATAGGATGCTGACGTGTTCCATGGACTATAGTACCCAATGGCTGCAAGCGAATCACACATGGTCATAAGTGCGATTTTGTGAAATACAGTCGGGCTCAAGACCCCTTGTGCCCTTCTCAAACATGGCTTTGCCGTTGTGCGAACAGTACTTTAGGGAATTTTGTCAGCTTGAATGAGAACTGATGGTGGCGGGAACAACCGTTTGGGGAGAAAGGCGCTCCAAAGTAGTGAAGTGCTCCTTCGACGCATGTGGTTGACGTGCATGCAGCATACAGTCCAGGGGTGGATCTAGAGGGGGGGGGGGGGCACGGGATTATGTCCCCCTTTGGTCCCTTTAGGCTCTGAGATGGCCCGTAGCCGGCCGAGCAAACACAGCTGTTTTTTACTCAAAACGCAGAAATTGGACGTCTTTGGGCTTTCAGCCGACTAATAACAGTCGTAAGCAAAAGTTAAGGGCTTACGCGCAGACACAAAATATTCTTCACTGATTGAGAGGGTGGTGATTGGGAGGTCTTAAGACTGCTTACGCTGTCCAGAGGCCCTACGCTGTTTCCGGGGGACCTACATGTTTACCTGCGGGGGTCAACCTGATCGCTAAGGAGCCTTCTGCGTTGCCCTTGACTTCTTTGCATTAGCTCGGAGGGCCCTGCGCTGTTGCTGGGGCTCTTCTTGCTAGCACGCTGGGCACTCTTTGTCAATCAGGGGACTTCCACGGATTCTTTCCACTCGCCCGAACCGCTCTATACGCTAGAGCTGGTGGGCTCCATATGTTAACATGCCGGGTACTCTCGGTTGCTCAGGGGCCCTCCATATTGGTCACGGTTAGCCTACTGGTACACTCACGACATGTTCTCGGGCCCTCTACATTTGTCAAGAGCCCTTCTAATTTTGTGTCACTTGCTTAGGGCCCCACGCTGCTGTCTGGGGCCCATTTGTTGACCTACTCGCGGTCACTCGGCCGTTCGGGCACTCCAAATTGGGTCTTGGGGACTTCCTATTTGAATGGAGGGCCCTATGCACTTGTCGGGGCCTCTATCTGTTTGCCTGCTCGTTTGCACTGGATTGTTCGGGGGCCCTGAGCATTGGATTTTAGTATTTGAATGTAGGGCCCTACGCTTCTGTCGGGGCCATCTGATAGCCTGCTAGGGTGCACCCAATCTTTCGGGGGCCCTCCACACTAGGTTTTAGGTACTTATCTGAATAGATGGCCTTACGCTCTTGTCGGGGGCCCCATCTGATAACCTGCTCGGGGCCCTATCTGTTAACCTGCTCGGGCACACTCGGTCGTTCGGGGGCCCTGTACATTGGGTCTTGGGTGCTTCCTATTTGAGTGTAGAGCCCTACGCCCTGTTAGGGGCCATTTGATAGCCTGCACGGGCACACTCGATCATTCCTGGGCCCTCCATATTGGGTGCTTCTTATTTGAATAGATTACCCTATGTTCTTGTCGGGGCTCATCTGTCAAACTGCTTGGGCTAATGGCGGATTCAGAAGGGGGGACACGAAATCGTGCTCCCTATTGTGCCCCGAACGGACCTATAGGTTCTGAGTGGGCCCATGACTAGGCGAACAGACGCAATTTTCAGACATAAAACAGACAAAAAATGGACGTCTTTGGTCCTTCAGACGATCAAGAGCAGCGACGAGCGAAGGTAAAGCCCGTGAGCAGACAAACTCATTACGCTATCCAGAGGCGTTACGCTGTTGCCGGGGCCCTTTATGTCTACTGGCCGGGTCAATCCGATCGCTAAGGAACCTTTCACGCTGCCCAATATATCTTTGCATTTTCTCGTAGGGCGCTACGCTCCTGTTGGGGCACTATCTGCTAACGTGCCTGGACACCCTTGATCGATCAGGGGCACTCGCCAGGTTCTTTCCACGCGCCCAAAATGCACTGTATGCTTTTGCCGGGGCGCCATATGCCGGGTGCACTCAGTTACTCAGGGGCCTTTCATATTGGTCTCGGGTTCTTTCCACTTGCTCTGAGGGCCTTGTGCTGTTGCTGGGACCAATGTAAGGTGAAACACTGAGCCACTCGATGCTCAGGGGCCTTCTACATTGATATCAGGATTTTTCCTTTTGATGTCGTTTGCGGATGACCCATTTCATATAATACGTTTAATGCTAGAATATGTTGTACTCCTTCATAACGAGCAAAGCAAAAACTCTGTATTAGTCGCCAGCTACCAGCTGATCATGTCAACCAGCCGACTAGCTGTGATTATCCTTGGAATCAAGTTTTTGCTTGATTTAATAGTATTTATGAGCTAACTGTAGCTTCTCTTGCTTTTTGAAAAAAAACTTTGCCTCAAAATGAGAGGATTCATCATGATCTGGAGAAAATGAATAAGCTCCATGCATGTGCATTCGTAGTACGCCTAGGTCTCTAGGAATACGCACGGAAGAATGGGTTTCCGTATAAAAATAACATACTAAGAACCTTGAAATTTAATTGGCGGACTTCGAGGATTTCTTTTGGGGGTCTCTGAACTCTATGGGGCCCTGCAATTTTGCATGCCCCCCGACGAAATCCTGGATCAGCTTCTGATACAATATTTTTTGAGTTAAGGTTTGATCCTTGTCACAGGGCTGGGATGCCCAACGAGATGTGGTTATTCCTTACAAGCTGTAGTTCTAAAAATCAACATAGATGTCGCTGCAGGTATTTATTGCGGAACGATGCCATCTGGGCAGGTGGCTGGACGAGATCATTTCGAACATCCCGCACGTCCGGCAGCACGCCGCCGTACCAATCAGACGTCTCTTTTATCCGCGCATCGTTACGGAAGCCGCTGTTTGGGGCGATCTCATCTGATCGGGGCGCGCAGGCATGCATGGCGCGTCCGTCTGTAAAAATCAGGTCGACCACGTCCGGGCACGGCCGCGTCCAGACATGTGTTCGACTTATATTTTTTTAGAATCTATGAGCCATTGGCTCATTATCCTCATTGCCCGGTTTGAATATCATTTAAGTGA